GTGCGGAACGAGGAGAAAGAGAGGAGGACCAGGAGCGCTGGGATTGCGCATCCGATTCAACCGCTGGCGGATCTAGTTGAAAACTGGGAACCCACTCGCTAAAGAGAGAAGGGGCTGCTCCCCAAGCAATGATTCGGCACGGGCGCCCAGGACATCGGCAATCACTGCTGCCGTCTTCGCAAGTAAACAACAGTGAAACGCATCAGTAAAGTACAGCTGACAGGACCAGGAGGGGGATGGAGGAGGATGAGGACTGGGAGGGGAAGGACGAGGGGGGGAAAGGATGACGGATGCATTCCCCCCTAACGTTGCCAGGTGATTTTTGGGTCATACGGATTTCTGGCCGCCATTCTGGATGATGGGGACCCCAGGAACGCCATTGATACGGCGCACCTGCTGGAGGGCATCCCGAGACTGGAAAGCTGCCGAGAGCCACTGCAAAAAAGTACGAGAACTGGAGGAGCGACGCGCTAAGCCAGAGTCCCCGTCCGTACATCACGAGCGGCGGACATGTCTGCATCCGCGCCCTCACGGTCTGGATTACGGGGCGCGATCCCGCGGATACGCGGTCGCACGGATGCGCTCCCCGCGGGGCATCCGCCAACAAAAGCACGTCCCGCATCCGCGTGGTCGCGGCCCAGTGGCCCAGCCCGCGAGGCCCACGAAAACGCTGAAAAACTTTGGAGGAACAGAGGGATGCCGTCGCCGCCGTCCTCGTCGTCGTCATCGGCACCGTCGTCGTCGCCGTCGTCGTCAGCGTCGGAGTCGGCGTCGGCGCCGGCGTTGGCGTCGTTCGTGGTGCGTCGTGCGTCATGCGTCGTGCGTCGTGCGTCGTGCGTCGTCGTCGTCGTCGTCGTCGTCGTCGTCGTCGTCGGTCGTCGTCCTCGTCGGCGTCGGCGTCGGCGTTGGCATTTTGGTTGGCGTCTTGGTCGTCGTCGTCGTCGTGGTCGTCATGGACGTCGTGCGTCGTGCGTCGTCCGTCGTCGTCGCCGCCGCCGCCGCCCTCGCCATCCGGGAGGCGTCCGCCAGGGCCGCGCGGCCTGCGACGGCGCCGCCCGCTGGACCCATGGCGGCCATGTGCAGCGCGCGCCCCTCGGCGGCCAGCCGCCGCGCCGCGCGCCGCCCTGCTGCAGGCGGCCGCTCCGGGCCGCGGCGCGTCTCTCGAGGCGATGGGGAGGGCGATTCAGGAGAGCAGAAAGGGAGCATCTGTGTTTTCGCAGCCATAGCGGGCGCTGTGGGGAGGCATGGAGGGGGGGCATAACGTAAGCCCCCCCCCCGTCGCCGTGTGGCTCCTGCACGACAGCGCCTGGGCACATCACATCATGCACCACAGTGCGCGGCGCAGCGTGCACCGCCACAGCCGCGTGGACCGAATCGCATATGTACTACGCAGCGCACGCGTGCACCACAGTACGTGAAGGGGGGAAAGGGAGGCATAACGCGCGTCGTGGCCCAGGTGGTTACAAACACACACTCCAAAATCCACCACCACCACTAGAGCTCCATAGAACTCCGCTCCCAGAGGCCACCCCCCGGAGCTGGTGGCACTCCGTTCCTGGCACGCTCTGTGGGCGCGGCCGGAACGGAGCACCACCAGCTCGGGGCGGGGGAGCGGCCAGCCCCCCTGGCTGGTGGCCGTGGTTCCTTCTTCTCTGGTGAGCGATGCCCGGCGAGGCTGTCGAGGGCGAGGGCGGGGTCCTCAGGGTCCGTCAGCACCCGATCGGGAGAGCGGACCGAAGCGAGGCGTGCGTCGGATCGGAAAGCGGATCGACACAAGGCCGGAGTCGGATGGAATCGGCCGCGCCAGGATGCACAGCAGCGCCGTGCAAGCATCGGGCAGCATCGGCAAGTCGGAACAGCGGAGAAATCCGATCGGGCCACATCGGAATCGGCAACGAATCGGACCGATCGGATCGAAATGCGCCCTGGTTGGGAGGGGGGCAGCGACGGGGTCCCGCGAGGGTCGAACCAGCGGCCTCGGGATGACGCACCGAGGAACGAAACGACAGGCATAGACATAGAAACTGTCAGAGGTCCGAGTGCATTGTTTTGGGTCGGCGAGGGGGCCCCCTCGCGGCGCCTCCAGCGCCGCCCCTGGCACGCTCCGCGCGTCAGGGAGGGTGGTCCTACGCCGAACCCAAGAAGACCGGGCGGAACCTCGAAAGTTTAGTCCCCCAAACGGTGTCTTTCCTCTATGGACCTGGGCTCGTCCCTGTCTGCGGGCCCGGTGGCCCCGTTCCCATCCGTCGCCGCCCCATCCCGTTGCCGCCCGTCGCCACACAACATGGCTTACATAGCATAGCTTGCACCACATGGCGTGCACAGCATAGCTTGTACAACATAGCCTCCACCACATATCTTACACCACATAACTCGCACCACTACTGGCCCATATTGCTTACATCTAATAGTTTGCACCGCATGGCTAACACCACATGGCGTGCACCACCTAGCTTACACCAAGCTGGCATCATATAGCTTACAACACATACCTTGCACCACATCGCTTACATCACACAGTTTGCACCACATAGCGTATACCGTATAGCTTGCATCATATAGCTTACGCCACAGAGCAGACATCCCATAGCTTCTACCACATGTCTTGCACCAAGTTGGTTGCACCACATTGCCTACAGCACACAACTTGCACCACATTGCTTACGCCACATAGCTGGTACCATATAGCGTACGCCACAAGGTTCGCACCACTCATCTTACACATGCACAGTGAACCAACTGACTGCCTGGGCACCACGATGGCTACCCTTCTGTGTATGAAGTGTTGGCTCCTCCACTCTCTCTCGCTCTGAGATCGACGGCTTCGCTTGTATTGTAGACGTGCTCGCTCCGATCCTGGACTTCTCGACGAGGCAGTCATGGGGCAGAGTGTCAAGGTCCAGGCCGTGAGCGAGGCAGGGGCCTAGGCCTTCCCGTCAGAACCTTCGGCAGCGGCTGGTTCCGACCCTGCGCGAACGAGATCGGCTCCGTTCGCAACGGGAAGGTCCACACAGGCGCTGGGCTGGGCTGGGGGCGGCATGTGGGTCAAGGGCTTGGTCTGAACCGATGGAGCGGAGGAACCGAGTCCGCTACATCTTCGACATACCTGGCAATCGGTTGAATGTATGGGTCTAGCCGACCGAGCATGTCTTGGCGTCATCGCCCTGTTTCGCGGGCGTCCTCGTCGTTCTCGTCAACTTTGCTCCTCCTCCTCCTCCTCCAGCTCCTCCTCCTCCTCCTCCTCCTCGTGCCACTGCTGGCACCACCCAGGATGAAAAAGAAGCTGAGGATTATTGCCTCTGCTCATACACGACCGCGGGGGGAGAGCAGGGGTGCGAGCGGCGTGCGGCCACATCCATAATGACGAGAATCTGCACCCGCGAACGTCGTTCGCACGTGCACCCTCTGTCGCGCAAAGCCCGCTATCCAGAGCGTGCCCCGCCAGCCTGGAAAGCGAGCACAGCCGCCGGTCATCCTTCCAATTCACCCAACTTCGCGCATCGCGCACGCGATGCGCGGTTGACTACGCGCCATTGCGACGTCGCACCGCCCCCTGCGGGAGGACAGCCTCTGGTCCAGACCGCGACGCGCGACGCGCAGCTGTCTTCTCGCGCCCCCGCGGGTGACCCAGCTCTTCGCCCTCCGCCTGCTCGGCGGGCACAGTGGTGCTGGCCTGCGGCGTTGCTACGCCCGGCGGATGTGGGTGGGGCGAGTCGGGGATGCACTGGCCCGGATCAGTGCAGACCCGGTTCCGTCGAGCTCTGCAGGAACTCGCAAGATCCTGGAGGATCCTGCACGCTAGCCCGGGGTCAGTGCAGCCCTGGCCTTGCAGCATCCTGCAAGATCCGGCGCTCTGGCTGACCCCCGTCTGCGTTGACCCCCATCGCTAACAGCCCGAGCGAGGGGGCGGCCTGCGGAGCCGTCAGGGGCAGGGCACAGGGGCTCTACGTTTGACAAGGCTTGAAAAACGGCGGGAGGGCCTCCAAGAGGCCCCCCCCTCGCGCCCCCCCTCGCGCCCTACCCCCCCGCCTCGCGCCCGCCTTGCGCCCCCCCCCCTCAGAAGGACGCCCCCGTCGCGTCCCCCTCTTGTGAAGGGGCTCAGGGTCGCACAACTAAATAAACAAATTCGAGGATGTTCGTCTTCCCCGCCACTTCCTATACTTTCCATTTGGCAATGGAAATCGGCGATAAGTGGTGTATGTGTGTTTTTTCTCTCCTGCTCTTTTGCGCGCCGCAGATGCTCGTTTCGTCTTGCACACGTTTCCGGGAAGAGGGTGATGTTCGGTGGGCTGCTCTTCTGCATGAGTCGACGCTGATACGCTCGCACGTGGGCGCGTTTGCATGCGTGGTTCCCCTTATGCTGCAACAACTTGCGACACGGCATCTAGTTCGCCGCAAGGGACATCGGTCTGCGCGGGGTTGTTGGCAGAGTTGAGTGGCAAGGATCAGGCTGACACCAGAAATTAAATGAACTAACAAAAACACTGAGACGCTAGATAACGTTTTTTATTTAACGCGATTGGCGCCGTTACAGGCCCCGGCAGGACCACCCCCCAGGTAACGTCACGATTCTTGCTGCCCTCCGAATTGTCCACTATTATTCCTAAACGTTCCCAAACGGCGCCGGCGCGAAACGTGACGTTACCGCCCACACCCCTACCCCCGTAACGCCCGTTATCGCTCAGGAATGCAAATGCGCTCGCCTGATTGTGGTACGTGACATGAGGACGCCTGTCAGGAGGGCGTCTGAGAACACGCAGAAGCAGCAACACTTTCTGGTCACACCCACCGGGGGTTGCTGAAGGTGCCCTCGGCCCAAGGTGCCCCCAGCTTTTCGTTCCATTTTGGCGGCCCTGAGCCCACTGGGCCTCGTGATGGGTGCTCTGGAGGTTGTAGGGACATTGGGGCAGGGGCACTTCTAGCAACACCGGCACCCACTGGCCCAAACGAGAGGTTCACTCAGCATTTTTGCTGGCTGACTGAGAGCAATACACAATTATGCCGTCGAGATCTGACCAATGACTACGGACGTTCAAAATAGCATCCCGCCCCTGCAGGGGGCGAACCGCAAACCGTCTGGGCTCCAGCCTGGCCAGGGCGCAAATGAAGAGGAATGCAATGCGACGAACATGGCGCACCGTTTGACAAAGGACAATGCCGATCATATGGATTTTGTCGAGAAGGTGAACAACAACCATCACATCTCGCAACAACGCGGAGTGCACCACTGGACCACTACGTGAAACGAAAACAACTGGGCGAGCCAATAATGACAAACGAGCCAGCTATGCTAAATGTAGGCGGCGAGAAAGGTGCGACACTCGCATCTAACCGCAACGCGGATCGCACCCAGGCCACGACGTGTAACGAAAACAGCCAACCGAACTAGAATGCCACGCAACAGACAAGCGACACTTTCTTCACGACCCTGCTCCTGCCAAAACTCAGCGATGAGCGGGTGTGTGGCGTAGATGGCAGTTCGAACATCGGGAGATTGAACCGTAAGAAAATGTATCCGCGCAGATTTCTTGAATCAGCACTGAGCCCCCCATCCGCTGGCGCGACGAGGAGCCGCCAGGGGCACCCCAACGCTGATCCAGGACGTCCAGACGGACCTCCGAAATTTGATGCTTTTCCTGTTTTGTTTGTTTCAAAATACTGCCGCCATGGCCCGTCCCCCCCAGGCCTCTGCGGGGGTGTATAGAGGAAACGACACCTCCTCAGAAAGAACGAGGCGGCTGGGGGGAGAACAGGGCGGAAGCAAACAAGTGTGCAAGACGGCCCCATCAATTCAGCATATTCGGCGGGTCGAGCATGTTCGGCGGGTAGTCCCCGGCGTCCCGCTTCCGCCTTATGATGGTGGCAATGGTGCTGCTGAGGTCGGCCACCTCGGCACGCAGGGCCCGCAAATCTTCCTCGATTTGCCGCGTGCTCTCCGGCGGGGCCTCGGCAGCGGCGGCCGTCGTCACTCCCTGCTTGTCGTCGAGCACGCGCATCAAGCCGTCCAGGAGGACTGCCACGATCACGTTCAAGAGGACTATGGAGTTTAACAATATGAAAGACACGAAGAAAACCGCCGTCACGACCACCATGAGGCGGTCCCGCTGGACGGAGGAGTAGTAATGCAAGATGGATGGGAGGCCTCCCTGTGATGTGCCGGCGCAATATGGCAACTTCTAGGAGGCATTCGGGGGTACGGCCAAGCCGGGTAAGTTCAGACGAAGGGACTGATACACCGAATCAACCTGGACATCAAGTCGAGCAGCAAGATTAAGCTGGTCAGGCCCGATGAATGCGGATCTGCCTAGAACAGGACAGAGCGACATCCCAGGGCGATGCTTGCCTGCACACCCCGGCGAACAACCCAGGAATTGCTACCTAATCAATGCAGTCCTCCTCTATCCCCCCCACACCCCCCCTGAAGGCCCAAAGAGAGTCGGGTTCGATGGGGTCGGAAGATCGCGCCGCATCACCGACGTCGGCGATGCAGCGGCACCGTCGGCATGGAGAACATCGGGCTCCACATCGCGCCGCATCGCCGATGCTTCGCCGATGCGGCACCATCCCCCGACCCCATCTACTCGGGCCACATCCGGGACAGGGTAGAGCAGGACAACCCCCGAGGGGGAAGACTCACGAGTCAAAGCACTAGGCTCCTCGGCCGTGGAAGAATACGCCGTGCAAGAACAGACACCGTTTTGGGAAAACCAAAGGAATCGCTACCGCTGCTCCCCGGACCTCACCCTGGGTGCGTTCTGACCAGGATTTCGAGGCGAATCCAGAGGTCGCGCCGAGGGCCTCCCAGGAGGCCCCAAAAGGAAAAAACAAGGCACGGGTAGCGGTATGGGTACCTGTTCCTGCTATGAGTTTCCTCGCCGTGGGGGAACAGGCCACGGAGGAACGGACCCCATGTTGCAGGCCCCCCTCTCCTCGGCTACACGTGATAGTGACCTTGGGCAAGAAAGACCTTTGGTGCACGACTTCATGGGGGACGCGGGGTGGCCAAACCCGGGCGCGCAGCCGCTGCTGCCGCCTCGCGTTCAGCGAATGGGGGACCCAACTCCAGCGAGATGATGGGCCTGTTTTCCACCACCACCACCACGACCACGACCACCGCCACCATAAGTTGGAGGGGGAAGGAGGAGGAGGACGAGGAGGAGGAGGAGGAGGAGGAGGAGGAGGAGGAGGAGGAGGAGGAGGACCTCCTCCCCCTCCGACTTATGGTGGTGGTGGTGGAAAACGGGCCCATCACGAGAGGTCACTCTGACGGCTAGTCGACCTCCGCAGGGGAAGGGGCCCCCCCCCCCTTGGGCACGCACGGGAGGCGCGGAGAGGCCTCCCCATGGGCCGCACGCCGGCCTCCGACCAGGACTCGCCCGTGAGGACCTGGAGCAGGGTGAAGAGCGCGGCGGCGAAGGTGCCGTAGTACTCCTTCGGGGCCCCATGGCCCGAGACCCCCCCAGGGTCGTGAAAAATCTCGGCGGGGGGTGGTTCGCTGCGGTCGGCCTCCGTGGGCTCTTGCCGGGCCTCGAGACCGTCAGCATGGAAAGACGCAGGGTGGGCAACCGGCGCTGGGGCAGGGGTCGAGACCCCTGGAGGTGGGCGTCGTGAAAGAATCACGACGTCGGGGGTCTGGGTGCACGGGTACTTGCTGGTACTCCATGGCGTGTGGCGCACTGGAAGAGGCTGCGCCAGCGGGCCGCGAACACTCTGCGCTCCTCGTTTTTTCTCCGCCTGGATCTGGAAGAGCCTGGTTTGCCAAGCCCCGGTGTCTGGGGCCCCCAAGACCCCCGACGTCATGCTTTTTTGCAGCGCTAGCCCCCAGAAGTCACGACCAATTTCGCGGGACGGGCTGCTCGTCCTAAGTCGTTCCTTGACGGTCACGAGGCCTCGCCAGGGCCCCGCGAAGCCAAGCATGTCGGAATAATATCCGTCGTGTCTTTTTCGCGACGCGGATGGGTCTGGACCCTGGCTCCTCCCCGTAGAGGTTGCCCCGGGCCGTGATCGCCCCAGGCACGGGGTCCTCCTGCAGGGCGCTCACAACAGGACGCACGCACCGAATCACGCACACGAAGAATTACAGCGCCCCCAGTCCGCGAGACCAGGCTCGTGATACGAACGTTCGCGCACTGCACACTTTCGAAACCAGCGTGGAGTCATGTGTGTGTACGCCCTTCGTTTGCGACTGATCCTCGTGGCCCGAGTAGAGGTCGCCAAAGAGGTCGACGGCGATGATGGCATATCCGCCGTCGCGCCCGCCCTTTGCCGGCGCGTGTCGGGCCCTTGCTGCCTTCTGTCCGCTGGCTTCGCCTGCTGCGAGGCCCCACACGAGGCTTCGGGACCAACGCGCGCTGCTGATATTTGGGGGGCCAGGTCAGACTGCGACGTTCGCGCGCCCTGCAGACGATACGCCTTACTCAAACACAGAAAAAACATGTCCTGCACTCACTCTGAGATCCGCCCCTGAGGGGAAACGTTGCGGAGGGGTTGGCTCAGAGGGCTAAACATCGGCCTGCAATCGGCAAGACATCGCCGATGGATCGGCGATGCGCCCCCGATAACGAAACCGCCCAAGCGCGGTGGCGAGCTAGCGCGGCAGCGCCATCGGATATAGATATCAAGATCGAGCACAACACCAAGACGTTAAGCACCGCGGGGAGCGCGTTGGCGATGGCCATGACGACCCTGCGGAGAGACTCGACGCGCTTGAGCAGCCGAAGCACCCTGAACGCGCGGAGAAGACGCACCATCTTGATCGAATGCGACACCGGGACCTGCAACATGTCGACGACACCCACGGTGACGACGACCAGATCGAACACGTTCCAGCCATCCCTGAAAAAAGGCCGCATCCACTTGCCGTACATGTTGACCAGGAGCTCGACCAAGAAAGCCAAATTGAAAGCGTAGTCGAGGGCGAACCAAAGGGCCTTGTGCCTGCGGTGATCCAGGTCCGGCTCCGGGTCCCACTGCCAGGGCGCTATGTCGCACAGGAAATTCGCGACGATGAGCTTGGCCACGCTTGCCTGCACGTAGGGCCGCCTGTGGGGAAACCGTACAACTCCTCACCCGACCTCTCCCAGGGCGCGCTCAGACCAGGCGACGAGGGCCTCCGAAGAGACCCCACACCTGCGAAACCTGGGAAACGGTAGCGGCAGCCGCATCGGCACCTTTTCCTCCTGCAGGCCTGCGGCCGTAGTCGTGGTAGAAGTCGAATGCGCGGACCTGGTGCTTCCACAGACCCCTCAGCCTCGCCTGCCTCGCGGCGCCCTCGACCTCGTCCCGCAGCGCCCGCAGGTCCGCCATCTTGGCAAACGCCGGGCTCTGCGCCCGCGACGCGAAGCAGGGCACCGGGGGGTCCGCGCCCCCTCCTCGGAACAGGAAGACAGCTGCATGAGCAGAATCACCACCAACCACACCACCCCAACCCAGCCCGAAGCCCCAAATTTCGGGTTGGAGGGGAGGGAACGGGTTCCACATGCGGTCTGTCAATGCTCCCGGACGCCCCCGCCACTGGAAATGGAGGACAAGTGACAAGTTGGGGCTCTCGGGTTGGATTGGGGTGGTTTGGTATTTGGTGGCACAAACCTTCGGAAGTCCGCGCTGACTTCTCGGATCGGCGCGGAGCGCGCCGGGGGTGGCGCCCGAAGCGCCGCCAGGGGGGACAGGCGCCAATCCGAGGCAAATCCGCGCGGACCCTCGAGAGCTGTTTGCGGCAACTCATGGGAGCCTGCCGTGCCATCGTGCTGTCTCTTGCGAATCGACGCCAGTCGACGTTCATCGGCGCTGAACCGACGCTTGTCGACGCTAAATCTGCGCTTTCTGATCGACCACCAGACGCTATAACGCACGCTGGTGCGTTCTGCTGACGGAGTTGCGAGGACATGCACGGCTCCCATGGCCCGCTACAAAATGAGCTCATGTTCGTGCACTGTTTGCTCCCCTTCGATCTCCTGGCTGGGGGGGCTTGTAGCAATCGCCGCTCGATGCCATGCGGGCCCCTCCCGACCCGCCCAGGCCAGGCAGAGCCTGGCCGCCGAGCGGGGAAGCGACAAGTGGGGGGCAGCTCAGAGGAGAGGCACCTCGGCACGATCAGAACGGGTACGGAACAAGTGGGGACGAAGACCGACAGCAGTTCCTGTCCGTGTTGAGCAGGGCTCGCTGTCGGCGTCACCGCGCACGTTGTCTGTTTGAGGGGCGCCTGCCCAACCCTCGGCCGCTGTCGGTTCTGGACGACATCTGCTGTTGGGCATCGTGCGCATTTCTTCCGTACCCATTTCGGGCGTCAAAAACATCGACCTGGAATCGGCGACACGTCGCTAGTAGATCGCCGACAGGCCCCCGATGGCGAATCAAGCACGTTCCTGGCGGGCCCCTATCATTCATCAATGGGCGCTTCGATCTCAGCATCCCCCAAGGTCATCCCTCCTGACATTGACGGGTATCGGTTGTCGTGTCATGAATCGAGTCTCCGGCGGCCGTTCGGGACGATCCGGGCACCCTCGGAATGCCCCCAGCGAGACGCAGCTGCTGGAGGCATCCCGAGGCCGGAAGCCATCCAGGAAGCGACGAGAGCGTCCGAAAAGCTGGCACCTCGAAGTGATGATCGTCCCCCATGGAGCCAAGCCCCCCTGACGTTGCCCCGCACCCCGCGCGGGTCGGGCAGAGTCTGGCCGCTGAGCGCGCAGGCCCTCCCTCCGCCGAGGCGGCCACGAGCCTCGAGGAGGCCGCGACGCGCGCCTGCCTTCGCCGCTGCAGGCGCCCCTGGAGCCCAGGCGGCCACGGCGCGACGAGGAGGGTCCTCCCCGGGAGGAGTTCTGAGGGGCACCCAGGGAGGCCTCGCGCGGCAACGGGAGACCCAATCTACATCGGATTCACGGCAGATGTACGTCGGGTTCACGTCGGCATCACGTTGGACTTACGCCGTGGCATCGCTGCGATAACTTACGGGAAGGGCGTGCGCTGGGGCCACCGGGCTCCGTGGCGGAGGCCTGCCTGCAACCTGTTCCGGTTCAAGTTTCCAGTCGCCAATGTGATAGTCAGAGTGAGGGGCCCGAACGGTCATTCATTGTCCCTGGGTGCGTGGGTAAAGTGAGAATCCGTGGTGAGGATTCTGCTTGATGCGTTGATGTTGTGGATGTTGCTGTTGCTGTTGCTGTTGCTGTTGCTGTTGTTGTTGTTGTTGTTGTTGTGGTTGTGGTTGTGGTTGTACTTGTAAAAGTTGTTGTTGTTGCTGTTGTTGTTGCTGTTGCTGTTGTTGTTGTTGCTGTTGTTGTTGTCCGGCGACCCACCCCGCGACCCACCCCGCGACCCACCCCGCGACCGACCCCGCGACCCAGCCCGCGACCCAGCCCGCGACCCACCCGCGACCCACCCCGCGACACACCCGCGACCCACCCCGCGACGCATCCGCGACCCACACGCGACCCACCCGCGACCCACCCTGCGACCCACCCGCGACCCACCCCGCGAACCATCCGCGACACAGCCCGCGACCCAGCCCGCGACCCACCCGCGACCCACTTTCGACCCACACGCGACCCACCCCGCGATCCACCCGTGACCCACCCGCGACCCACCCGCGACCCACCCGCGACCGATCACATTGCTTTGAAGAAACATCGGCGTCTGCGGCGGGCTCGTTGTATAATTTGTGAAACTTGGGCGCCTGCGGCGGGCTTCTCCAGAGTCTCGCAGACTGCCGACGTCCCCACCGCCCCCTCACTCTTATCCGCATCTGGGGGGTGCTACGTACAACGAGCCCGCCGCAGCCGCCGATTTTTTCGCTAAGCCAACGTGGGTAGGTCGCGGGTGGGTCGCGGGTGGGTCGCAAATGGATCGCGGGTGGGTCGCGGGTGGGTCGCGGATGTAGAGGGCAGAAAATCTACCCCATAATAATCACCCCGACAAGCGAAGCCGTTTAGTAAACGCACGCGAAGAATGAATCGAACAGGGCTGCAGCAGAATGAATCAACAGGACATCTCGGGGCACGGCCTTCGTCAACCCTGAGTTTTGCACAATGCCACTGGGGTCTGTGGCACCATCGAGGGGTAAGACATTCTCTCTAGCGGAGCATCGGCTGGCGTTGGAGGCGGCCGGGGGATCTGAACTGTTCGAGACTCCCGAAATTCGGCCAGAAGGGGAGATGAGGCCACATCCTATCCAAATCGGTCCCGGGAGCTCTTCGGGGGCACATCCGTTGCAGTTTTTGACTCTGGGGCTGCTTGTGGCGGCCCTGAGGCCCGCAGACGGCCAAACGGAGTCCGAGAGGGGCAAAATACCCTCCCGAGCCGAGCGCTTCGATTCTGCCCGCCCTTCCTGCTGGACGGACCCAGCACTGGGCCACCTCAGACCCCCAGACGGCTCTAAGGCTACTGTAGCTTCCGAACGTCGGCGGCAAGTCAGGGGGTGAAATGAGGAGGACGAGGAGGAGGAGGCCTTCTCAGAAGACGGCGGGGCTTCTCAGAAGCCCTCCGGCCTTCTGAGAAGTTATTTGCGTTGCGTTTGGGGGGAAGGCTTAGAACAGATTTCAGACAACCAAAAAACGTCCGAGCCTTCTAAGGAAACCCGCCCCTTCTCACTTTCCCTCCTTAGGCTCGACGCCGACAGACGGCTCCAAGGCTACTGTAGCTTTCTAAAGGGAGGGGTGCTCTGCAAGTAGGAGCGGGGCGCGGATGCGCCATAACCTTCGGTCGAATATCGCGGTCAAGACTCACAGCGGGCGCAGGTAGGACAGGCTCAGCAGGAAGGACGAGGACCAGGAAGGACGAGGACGAGGACGAGGCCAAAGAGGAGGCAGGGGGAGGCGGAGGCAAGATGCTGAAGGCCTTGGGAGGTCCTCCCGAGGCACTCGGATGGCGGTCGGAGGCCCCGGGAGTCGCCCTCCCCAGAGTGGTGATTTGGTGGCTCAGCGGATCTGACAGTGCTCGGCCGTGAGGCAGACAGGCCAGCTGGAGGCTGGCCTGTCAGCAGCTGCCCTGCGGAGTGAATGTTGCTCAGCCATGGCACAGGGTACCCCTCGGGATAGTCGGCGGAACAGCAAACTTCGTATAACAGGGTTCCCGATGGTATGGAGCCCATTCGGAGTACATGATTAAACTGCTTTTCCTTGCTGTCTGCACGCGCTGGCTGTCATGCCTGAGAAATGTCCCATGCCAGTTCCACTTGCAAAAAAAGACCATTCCCGTTCTCTCTGGAACCCAATTTTTGATTGACGCCCGGACTTGGTTTTCAAACTCAACCATAAGGAATCATACGATGCGTACAAACATATGTCTATCTATATGTGTACATCCATATGCACACAAACATCGGAGCCCCGTTGCCACCTCTGTACCGAAGAGGTCGCGAGAGCCTCCTGCGGTGCACGCGAGCAGGAATGCGTGGCACAGCGCGCCACAACAGATCACTTTCCCGACCAGCGCGCGTGCACCTGATATCCGACACCATCAAAGGTGACAAGCAACATGCGCGATAAGCATGCAAGCCGCTTGGAAGACCGTGTTGAGGCTCTTCGAGCGGGGCTGGCCATCGAATGTAGTCAAGGATGGACCGAAGAGGCACGGATGCAAGGACACCCTTGGGAACGTTGTTCAGGAACGTTCATACGTACCATCGGTTTCGACTGTACCGCGGTCCGTGCTCCCACGTCCCCTGTACAAACTCTCGTTAAACCGAGGGCCACAGCGGCGAGCCTGGGAGAAACGAGCGGCGGCGACAGTGTGGGAACACAAAGTATGCCGCCACCAGCGGCGCGGGCAAAGCCCTCGCTACACTATAGGCAGCGGGCGAATGTGAAGACACACGCCACGACGCCTCTCGGAACAAAGCCCCTGCACTTACCCGTGTCATTCTCAGAACCGCTTGTCAGCAAAAACCGCATATCCTTACCAATGCGTCCTGTTGCCAGCCAGCATGAATGCCGTTTGCGGGAGGAGCGTGTGCCCAGCATGTGTTTGTGCATCCTTGCTTTCGCATCCCCTACCCTATCAGCTTTGCCAAATGCTACTTGCGTTCGCTTGGACCATAGCTCAACATTCCAGGCCGCCTCAAATCAGACCTCATGACAAACTCGTTGGTCGCATGAGTTGCAGCTTCTGTCTTGGCAGCGGACCCGGTTCGTACTGCCACGGCCCCACATCCAGCCCTGCAGAGGGCTCTCAGCACGGCGCTCGGCTTCTGGCGTTCGGCTTCCGGCCCCAGCTCGGGCGATCCCCATAGCTTCACAACCATCGTGCTACAGTCGGGGCGTTGACCTAAGGAACCCTAAATAAGGAACGAGGCCCTTTTTTCTCATAAGTTAAACATCGATGTCCCATGGAAAACCTCAGGAACACCTGAGGCAAACTGTTAAACAATCAAGGAACACCGAGCCCCTCCCACGAAAAGGGTTCCTTCTTCAGCGCCCCGACTGCACAAGGAACAACAAAACGCCACGCACGGCGCAGAGGGGCTGCTCTGGCCACGGACCGGCACCGCCACGAACGGTTCCAACGACGCGGGTCCGGGGAGCGGACCGGAACACCCGAGCCCCCCCCCCCGAACCCAGATCGGACCTGGCGTCGGCGCCTCCGTGGAGACCACGAGATGCCGATGCTCCCCACACATCTCCCAGGGTGCGCTCTGAATACTTCCCAACCCTCTTGCGTTGGGCACTCGTTTCGGATACAACACTGCGCGCGCGCCTTCTCCGCCTCCCGCCTCCCGCCTCCTCGCCTCCTCTCTCGTGCCGCTCGCCTCGCTCCTTCCTGCGTGCCAGCTTGCCTCCTACCTGGCCATCCCTGGGGGGCTGCGATCTGCGAACCCGTCGCCACTTTCGAGGGCGGCTGGGGGGTCCAGCGGAGTGGCGTCTTACCCAGACCCAGATGAGACCTCGCCATCCATGTGGGGCTGCGATCTGTGAAACTGTCGCCACTTTGGAGGGCGTCTGGGGGGTCCAGCGGAGTGGCGTCTTACCCTGACTCAGATGAGACCTCGCCGTTCCTGTGGGGCTGCGATCTGCGAAACTGAACGGTCGCCACTTTGGAGGGCTGCAGGGGGGTCAAGCGGAGTGACGTCTTACCCGGATGAAACCTCGCCATCCCTGTGGGGCTGTGATCTGCGGCACTTTGGAGAGCTGCTGGGGGATTCAGCGGAGTGACGTTACATCAGCGGCTCCCGCCTGCTACTCCCTCACAATGTATGTCAAATTCGCGCTCTCTCGTGGGACTTCGTCGCAATGTGTCCAGGAATCGCGCTCTCGCACGGGTTTTTCTCACAGTCTATTGCGGCGCCGCCCCCAAGACTCACAAATCACGCTCTCGCTCTGGATGTCATACGATTTACTTGGGAATCGCGATATCACTCGAAACTTCCTTCGTGATGGGTTGACGCGTTAACGACTCGCCCGCTCGACCTGGCCCTTTTGGCTCGCCCGCCCGACCTGCCCGTTAGGATCCGCCCGCCCGACACGCCAGGGTGGTTATGCCGCTTTTGCTGCAACTCCTGACCCTCCTCCTTCAAAATGTTCTCGTATTACATCCATATCCCTCCCCGTTGTCTCTTCACGGCTCCCTTTCCGTCCGTTGCTTTAGGGGCAGCACCAACTACATGCGGCAGGTAGGGACGCTATAACCTCAATTCAAGGGCCAACCTCGGGGCTCGCACCTGTTTTTTTTTCATCGGGGGAAGTCCTCGTCCTCAAGCTGCGGTGCTGGGCCCCGAACTACAACAACGACTGTCGCAGGATATTTCCCTGGAAGGTATTACACGATCGAGCTATCGCGCAAGACT